ACTGAGATGCTTGGTTATAACGCCACAACTTTGGAGTAATACATTGAGTGTATAACCCTAACACTTGCTAATTGTGGGAACCTTACAAACTGCTGTCAGCTAGCTAGCATTCCGTAATCTTCAGCAATCGGTTATAAAAAAACACAAACGCATGGAAAAAATATTTAGTATAGGTAGACATTAATGATGCAAATGACGAAAGTAAATGAATTTTTACGTTTAGTTGTTAAGAAATTACAAATGAAACGATACACATCTTTTCTTTGAAGGAAACCCTCAATACATAAATAAAAGAATTTTCAGAAGAACATTGTTCATAAAGGATACAAATATTGGTTAAATTTCATGCGAATAAACATAACTAACTGGAAAAGTTTTGATTCCCTAAAATCTCTATCCCCCAAATTTTGATTTGCAAGCACTTAAATAGTTTAATCCACCAACAAATAATAATAGTGAAACAAATAAATCCTTAATGGAAAAAATACCGACAATTTCACATTAAAATTTAAATTCCAAAAGGGTATAAAATTAGATTTGGAGAGAGTTTAACAAACAATAAACTAAGAAAACAATACGTACCTTGTGGTCGATATTTTTCTTTACGTATGTAGGGATGTTATTGTACAGGTTTTTGTCTTTCAAAATGCTCTACTAAGAAGAAGAAAGAATGAAGAACATGATAATAGAATAAGAACAAAAAATAAACATTGAATAGAAGTGCAAAGGAGTGGTAATCGACAATAAAATGACATATTTTATATTTCAATAAACGGACATTTAGTAGTCGGACAGTTGGAGAAAATGGAAAATAAATAAATTTTTTTATAGAATTACAGGTTTGCCTTTAAAGTTTGATAAATTATTATCTACCATTGAAGTGGTTCTAGCTATCTATAAACTAAGGGCAAAGCTTAAGGGGGGAAATTAGAATATTATGTAGAATTTGGATTGTTGCGAGAAATCGCCCGTTGAACATATAATTGCTAAACGAACTGCAGACAATAATCAAAGTTGGAAGCATAATATTGCAACAGATAAAACTATATGAAGAACCAATAGTAGCTTCCTCGGCCTACCTAATTTTCACTGATTAAGCATAACAATATAACTTAAAGGATGTCATGTAAATCATGTAAAATTTTCCCTAAATTCTTCAACGAATCCAATACAACGAATTTAAGTTACAGTGTCGGTCGTAAAAAAATAGAAGAAATTGAAGATTTTTTCTCTGAACTTACTTTCAATATGACAAAAAGTGAGTAGGTTCACCCGTCTCCTTGATTACACCTTGAAAGATTTATCCTTATTTCCCATAATTCCTGCATTCAATCAAACCTATAAAATTATATGATAAATTCCCTCAAAATCATAGGAAGTAAATGGCCGAAAAAAATAAAATAAAATAAAATATAGGAAAATGTATTTATGGAAAATGTACATCTCTAAAGACATTGACGTGCGTAAGATTACATTTATATATATATATATATATATATGGAAAGAAAAAAAAAATCTGCAATTACACGAATTCAAATTATTGAATTACAAATTTCCTGAATCCAAATTACTCCGACTAATGATGATGATATTTACGGCTGTAGAACAATCCCCTGCCCCTAGGGGTTTTGGAATGGAGAAAAAAAAAAAAAAAAAAAAAAGAAAATTGAACACATTAAATGATACATAGAACTTCAGATATATAAACATTAACAAACACATCATATCCCGTTTCTTTTGCGATTAATCAACAAATCACACAAATCGGATAATGTGAACAAACTCATCATATCCCGTTTCCGTTGCGATTAATCAACAAATCACACAAATCGGATAATGTGATTACCAAAAATACCAAATCACGAATGGATCTTATCGGATCAAATTAAATACGGAAAATTTGAGATTGAAGACATTTCCTAAAAAAAAAAAAAGGAGGATGAGGTAGAATACGTAATGATAAAAGGAGGGAATTGATTTAAAAATTTGATCTTGATTCTTAATTTACTAAATAAAATAAAATAAAATAATAAAAGTAATTACGAAAGTAATTGATAATTGTAAAATTCAAATAAGCGGAAAAAAATGCCCTACGGTTTACCAATGCAACCTTCCTTTTATTAATAAAATTCCTTTTATTAATAAGATTAATAAAATGAAAATAATAAAATAATAAAAGATACGTAGATTTGGTGTGGGAGAAAAATCTAGATAATTCCTTGAAAAAAACGTAATTAGTTTAGAATTAAAATATCATTAAAATTAGTTTAAATGAAAATTGAAATAAAAAAATAATAAAATAAATAAATGGTATAAAAGAATTCATCACACAATAATATATCATTAAAAGATACGTAATTAGTTTAAATGAAAATTGAAATAATAAAATAAGAAAAGTAAGAAATAAATAATAAAAGTAAAAAATAATTAAATGACAAATGTAGCAAGAAAATCAGGATAATTCCTTGAAAAACGTAATTAGTTTAGAATTAAAATATCATTAAAATTAGTTTAAATGAAAATTGAAAAAAAAAAAATTAAATAAATAAATGGTATAATAGAATTCATCACACAATAATATATCATTAAAAGATACGTAATTAGTTTAAATGAAAATTGAAATAATAAATAATAAAAGTAAAAAATAATTAAATGACAAATGTAGCCATAAAATGAGCGGGAAAAAAAACCCTAGGGTTTCACCAGAACAACCTTCCTTTTATTAATAAGATTATTAGGCTAGTTAACCAAATCCACTTTTGGCCCCTCCAAATTGAGTGGTTATAAAAATAATAAAAACCCACCAAATAAAATATACATTGCCCCCCAAATTGAAATTCAAATTGCCTTTCAAATAAATAATTAATTATAGAAAATTAATCCTACTAAAACTCTCTGCCCAACAAATATACGATAACAAAATTAACGACAGCATCGCGACCAAATCCTCTGCACGATAATTCAAATAATTCCTCTACACGAAAATTGCGACCGATATGAATTCTTTGATAAGGCCCGCTTTTTACGTTGCTCAAACAGATCTATTACGATCGTGTAGGGCAAACGAACACAAGTGGACGAGGAGGGTATATAAAATTTCGAAAAAAAATAAAATAAATCATAGAGTATAACCAAGAATGTAATATCCTAGTTAGCTAGTTCAAAATATTTCGGAGGAGGTCCATCAATTAATGAAAGTATCATTTTCACTATTTTCTCTCGGGGGCCGCGACTATTTGAAATACCATCTTTCTACTTAGTTACAAGACTTTCTAAATTAAAGACCAATTATTACCATAATTTACTTGGCGTAATATGCAAAAATACAAATATACCCTTTATTCAAATAGGGTATGATATGCCTAATTGGGCCAACCCAATGGGCCTACAATTTCTTTATCTAATGGGCCACGAACCCAATATTTAAGACCACTATCACCGAGGCCCAATCACCTTCAAGTAAGGTTTGGGTCCGACAATCTCAACTAAGCTATAAATAAATGTTTGAACTCATTCCTTAAGGTACGTCCTATTAACTGAGCAATACTATTAACTGTATTCTCTGGACTATTTCCACTACCCGCACGTCTGACTTGAGCGTCAGAGGGGTTTCCGCCGGATCAACCCCCGGCCTAGTTCACGTGTTCTATGATCGCAGGTATCTCAAGGTCATCAAGCTCGTGAGCCAGTGATCCACTCTGCTCTTCCAGTTCATCATATCTCAACTATCTAAGGTGATCTAACTTTAGCATCATCAGGGTACAACTTAGGTCCATTTGGTCAGTTTTTTTATTTAATTTTACAGTAAATTAATTTATTAGTGATTAGGTGTCAATCAATCTTATGCTATATAACTAATTTTCCAACAATCGTATACATACATTTAATTATATATCTATATATATTCCCTCGTACACTTATGATCTCACTACCTAGTGAGCTTTATTTCAATACCAATATTACAACAAAACCAAGCCAGCTACCAACTACGTACATAATACCGTACGTGTTTGCCTCTACGTACTGCATGCTATTTTATTAACTTTTAAATACTTAGGGATTATATATATATTTAATTTATTTTAATTCTCTTGCTCCTTAAAATCATTTCGAAGGACTTTCAGGTTCGATGGCATCTTCCTCGATACTGCTCGTATTCTTTTCGATGTCTTTGTTTGGCGGCTCGAGCTTCGTTTCGTCGACCTTCTTTGCATTTTTGTAGATTAAGTATAAGATCATTTGAGCAATTCCGAATAAAAACCCGAGAACATTTGGCAGCTGGATATCAAATTTAAACCAATAAAATATATATAATTTTATTAATTATTTGTGATATTGAGAATTATAATATAAGAATTTACGTAGCAATTTATTCGATACTTACTGCGATGTAGTAGTCCCTAACGAAGAATCCGTAGAAGAACCAAGTAGTGGCACAAAGGGTGAGGAAGAACGATAGCGTGAATGGCATGAACTCTACGCTTTTCGTCCTTACGACCCGTCTCTGCAAAAAAAAAAAAAAAAAAAATGAAACGAAAAATCGAAAAAATTAATTGCACGTTAAAATAATAATAAAAAAAAGTTGAATAAACATCGTTAATTGTCGAATGTATTCATTTTTTCTTATATTTAGAAAGAAAAAAAAAACTTAAACATATACATATTTACAACGTAAAACGAAGAAACGCGTGCTGAAAATATTTATATAAAAAAGAATTTAAAGAAATTAAATAGAAATATTAGGTTAATAATTAGGGATTAATTATGAAATTTTACCATGATGCTTAGAGGAGCTGCAAAAACAGCTATGGTGAAAATAGCACACACCCATCCTACAAAAGAAACCCTTTTCACACCTTTAAATGCTACTAAAGAAACTCCGGTGATTAACCCTAAACCTCCGACGTTAAATACGATAATCAATTTCATCGTGAAAATCTGCAAAATAAATAAAATTATTGCAAAAATAAATAAATAAATAAAGTTATATATATAACAAATTAATTAATTAATTTGAAAAACATTGTGATATAAATATGTATATATAATACTTACGTACCTTGGCCTTATTGGGTGCATATATTAGGTAGATTACGAGGTAAATAGCCTCGATGACACATCCGATTCCGTTGATGCTAACGATCATGTAAGCGTTTGTCTTAAGAAAACCGTAGTATAACAACAACGAAGCACTGAAAAATGCAACCGAATACGGTATAGACTGGAAGCTTTTCGACGATTTCTTCTTCCATATTGTATAAAACGTTGGCCTACATTCATATGACGCGCGAAGAATTATGGTTCGGTTGGAATTTTAAATTTATCGACAATTTTGAACTAAATATACTTTCAAGATTTATCGAAGTGGGGCTTACACTGGTGCCAAAAATACCAGGAAAGATATTATATTACCTGGTGCAACATTAAAAATAAATACAAAAATTAGATCGATGAGGTAAATAAATCGAAAGCTTGCAATAAGTACCGAAATACGAAGAAAACTTGCTATAAGTACCGATAATGCCGAATATGAAAGCGAGTTCTTTAGAAGTAAAAGATGCCATTTTAATGTAGTAATAATATATGAACACTTGAAAACAAATGAACTTGATGAATCTTGTGTGAAATGTGCAACCTTATTTATAGGCATGTTTGGTATACAATGCAATAAATAAAAACATTTGGTCTTGTCTTGTTAATAATTAAAGTTTATGGTAAAAAATAATTATTTCTTTTATAGGGCCAAACATACGCTAAGAACTAGCTTTGCATTGAAATAATGCAAATATTTGTTTATTAGATTTCTTCGTATTTGTTTGTCAGTAATAAATAATATTAGGTTTCAATCATGGTTTTTTTTTACCTTACCTTTAATATCTATGATCTAATTAATTATTACATATTAGCAAATAAAAAAGCTTCATTTTTCTGAGAAAAAAAAATGTTTTCAAAAGAGTCCTTTATAAATGATTTGACACCACCAACGTTTAATGATTTGTACAATCACTACTTTAAATTTTCAAGAGTTCATAATTCGCACATATATAAACAAATATTTTTATTTTTTCATCTAAAATATTTATGCGTTAATTAAGTTGGTTTAAATACATGACAAATTACAAATTTACAACCATAGTTTGCCTAACCTAATCAGTTGTTGGCTTTGATGTAAGGGGAGAACAATTGGACCGCATTGCCTATTTATAATCTACGCAGCACGGATACAGGAACGCAGATCTTGGGTGCTAAATACCTAACACGCAAGTGCACGTATCGCAAACAAGTAGTAAAAGTGGACTCGTGGGAGTCGGATGTCGATCCCACAGGGAATACTCAAATTACCTAATCCTAAGTACCAAATTCTAATAATTATGATTTTTATCCAGCCTACGCAAAGTTGTCAATTTAAATCAATTAATCAATTAAACTAATTAAGAAGCAAGTAATCACGAGAAAATATCAATAAAACGGACCTAGGATTTTATCTTCCCCCTATGCGATAATTCTTCACCCAATTAAACCTCTATCATGCAAGTTACAATTCCCGATTATTAACCCAAGACACGAAATTACTCATAATCCGCTGTCGCGTGTATTATAAGTCTATTATTCATAAACGATTCACTATATGTCTATGCAAACCTATTATGAATAAAATATTAAATAACAATTCTCGTAAACGGCTACCTAAGGTGATATCTGTATGTCTACGACACCACATGCAATTGACACACACATCCGGTGAAAACTACTCGAATGCTCTTCTATCCTTGTTCTAATTATTAAAACGATATGTCAATCAATTCTAACAATAACATATAGCAACATAAATTAACTACGTTCATGCGCTAAATAAGATCAAATAGAAGAAATAATCAAAGAAATTAAACTTGCATAATATTAGAAAAATAGGTTCGAATCACCACATAGGGTTCCAACAAAATCCTAGAATAAAAACTTAGCTACTCATGTTCTTAACGAAAAGCATAATAAAAATACGAAAGTTCATAAAAATCCAGAAATAAAAGTAAAGGAAGAACTATGATGAAGATTCGTCAAGTCTTCGTCTTCGTTGCTCCGTTCTCTTGCTCCTTGATTGCGTGTGTAAAGATTGATTTCTAATTATGTGCTTTTTGGCCTTTAAATAGGGTGCAAAAATATAAGAGGGCGGTTTCCTTGTGTAATTAAACTTCATTCACTGCGCCACCTCGTGAACCCGGACGGCCGTGCGAGAATTAGTTCTGAAATCCGGACGGCCGTCCGGTCTTTAATTCTTCAGAGTTTTGATTTTTTCACTTTTGGCCCACTTTTTCTCCGAATTTGCAGTTTTTACCCCTTAAGTTGCCAATTCTTCAATTTGTACCTAAAATACAAATAACAACCATTTTAAGCACCAATTATCGTTAAAACACACCAAAAGCTCCAATTAAAAGGTACAATTAAGTGTAAAAATATACACTTAACACACCCCAAAACTTGAACTTTTGCTTGTCCTCAAGTAAAATCAATTTATGAGCACAAAAACTCGACTATACATCTCATTACATAGATCGATTGGTCAACTTCGCGTTTTCAGAACTTGCAATTATGATGATAATTCCTAGGTATTCGTAAGCTTAACATTCAACGGCACTTAGTCACTCACTATTACCAAAAACCACAAATCATACAATTGCTTCAAGTATCCAATATTTGCAAGTTAAAGATAGAAGGAATTTATACTTACATGCATATATTTGACTCCAAATATTCACCAAATTATTCTACTCAACTAATATTGAACATTAAGCTATTGGGATCATTGGGACTTTGTGGCTTTCAATTGTTAGGCTCTTTAGTCCGAGATAGGTAATATGGGTATGTGTGGCTAATTTTCTTGAATTGAGGTGATTACGCCAAAATTTGAAAGATAGGCGTTTGAAACAATGAATTCACCTCTAGGGACTTTAATAAACTCGATTCTCCAAAGTTCAAACGTCAACACTTTTTCCTTTGAGGCAATGGATCGAGTTTTCAACACAATTCAACAACTAGTCCTTATTTCCCCCTTCTAATCTCTTCTTCTTCTCTTTCTCTTTTTTTTTTTTTTTTTTTTTTGAATCGAAGAATTTAGATATATAAAGATGCACATATATATCTATCTCTCCTTTTGTTTGTTTGTTTGTTTTTTTTTTTTTTTTTAAGCGAAGAAGAAAAAAGATCTTATAAGAATTTTCGACCGAACTCCAAGGGATAATTGTTAAAAAAATCTCCACTTTTGTACCTTCTACATATTGGCTAAAAGAAAGAACACCTTTTCTCCGAGGCTCAAATCAAGGTTCTAAGGATAAGTTCGATAAAAAGGGTAGGCTTGAAAGGCTCAAACGGTTCAAAGAAGGCCCATATCATATCCCAAATCACTTACTACCCAACACTTCGTATCATAAATGTCCTAAGGTGAGATTTAAAACCGAACAAAGCATGATTTAGCACAAATAAATTCCAAATTTAAAATACAAAACATTCAACCAAAGCAATGCATAAGGTGTGATTCCTAGCAATAATTTACTTCTACGTTCCGTTGAATCGAAAGCTAAACGAATATCTACTCCTTATCAACATAAAACAAGCAATTTCATCATCAAACATTGACCATCTTCCATCATCATAATTCATCGATGCGTCGAACCAAAATTTGTTTTTTTTTTTTTTTTTTTTTTTTTTAATTTTTTTTAAAGCAAATAATAAAACGGAAATAATAAAACGACAACTAAAACAAAAACTAAAGCATGCAAACTAACAAACAAGTAAAACACAAATAAGGCGCACATAAGAGAAAACAAATAGTTAACCACCCCCAAACTTAAAATTCACATTGCCCTCAATGTGATTCGCCCGGAGTTTAAGGATAGAAAACACCTGTTTAAGCGTCGGGACCATCGTCGGGTTGCTCACCAACTCCACCTTGCGCATGAGCATCACCATCCTCCTCATCATCCAAAAGCTCGGATACCGGCTCAAGAATCGGTGCGGGCAACGGAGCCGGTTCGGCGCACTCGGGAGTACCGCATGCCAAATGGCGCACAATGGCTTGGAGCATCTTCCCCGACCACCGTTGAAGGGATTCGATTGTGCTCACCTTGTGCTCCACCGTGGAAAGCCGATTTCTAGTGATCACCAACTCTCGCTCCATTCTTCTTTGAAAACGGTCGTCCGAACTTGTGCTTGGACCCTCGGGTGGAGCTATTGGTTGGTTATCGACGGGTTGCTCGCCATCTTGGATGGGTGCCTTGTATTGTCGGGCCGCAAGGTTACTCATCGGCTTCCGAATTAGTGTGAGAATATCCGTCGTTTTGGTTGGGACCTTCGCCTTCTTGCATAGACCGGTAACGAGGCAAGGGAAATAAAACCCTTTGGAGTTGTTGATCATGGAGATCCAAAAACGATCGGATATGATTTCGCCAATATTGATCGGTGTGCCCTTTAGAATGTAATATGCAAGAGCACACCGTTCGGGATCCACGTGAGTCCACGAGCGGGTGGGAATGAGGTTGGCACATATGAACGTAAGGCACGCCTTGCCTATTTGGTGGATGCATTTCCACTCCAACTCGTATGCCTCCTCGGTTGAGAGTTCGGACCAAATTGGGGGCCCATCGCACAACACCTCGCCGAGTTGATCTCTTGTTACCGCGAGTTGCATTTGCTCCCAATTGAATGGCTCATGTCGGAGGTTTTAGAAGGAGTTGATGGCCTTGGCACTCCAATCGACCCGCTTCCCTCGAACCGTGCTCGTCTTCCTATCCGAAGTTAGGAGAATGCGGGTGTTGGCGTAGAACTCGCGGACAAAAGATAAGTTGATTGACTCCGCCGGTTCCAATAATGATTGCCACCCTCGTCGTATGAATTCTTGATGCAATGGTGCAAATTGTGGAAGGGTGATCTCATATGCACGCTCCGTCACAAGTTTCTTCACTTTTTGTTTCTCAAAACGAGCCTTGGCGCCTTCGACACAAAAAGCATCGTCATCGGGGGTTGGAATTTGATCGGCTTTCTTGCCCTTCCCCTTGCTTTTTGAAGTGCCTTCGCCTTGTGAGGTGCCCTCCCCGTCACGTCCTCGTTTCCCCATGATGTGATAGTGCGTGTGGAAGGGATTTGAAGTGAATTGATGGGCAAAATTTCCCCCAAACTTGACTCGGGCAAATCGTCGAACACCTTGTGGGCGTTCTTGGTGTAATGGGTTTTTAGAGAAAATTGCACCGTTCTTGAATCCTCCCTGCGCAAATCAACAACAAACCACCTTGATTAAGTAATATATGTGTGTAGTTGGTGAATTTTCGGTGAAATTTGTCAAAGAAAAGGGAAAATTTCGAAAGAGGAAGGCTAGGGTTCGAAGTGGGGGAGAGAGGGGATTTGAAATTATGAAAATTGTGATGTGAAAATCCCTTTTTAATATGCCCGGTTTTTTTATTCGCACAGCCGTGCGAGATTTAGGTGAAAAATCCGCACGGCCGCGCCCTTTCTCAGAATTGGGCAGTAGCTCCTCTAAAATCTCGGACGGCCGTGCGAGATTTAGGTGAAAAAT